AACCATCTAATTGTAACTTTTGATCATAAGGCCATCCTAATCCTGATCAGCACTTTAATCAAAGATTTTATAAGGGCATTATGAAACTGATTGTTAGTTTAATTCCAGATGTGTCTGATCTTACGAGCAGCTGAACTGCTCTATTGTTCACTGTTAGTTCTTCCTTGCCTAGACCAGTAGTTTTTATGCTGTGTAGCCCCAGTAAGACATTCGAGCCAATGATCTACCCTTGGAGCATGTAATTTATTATGAAATGTAAGAGTGATTTATATGGATAAAAAGGTAAATCAAAAAGAAATAATTCAAAGGTGAGACAACAATTAATACATAAACATTGCGTGTGCCTAGTAGAATATGTAAGTGTCAGGACACTTACTTTTTATTAGTATATATTAAGCAAGCAATTAAATGGATGTGTTAGGCTAAGGATTCTTTTACAGTAGGTGTCTGTGACTTGTTGGTGATAAATTCAAAAAATAAACGAACAACACGCACTCTACTTGTTTTCAAAATAATATATATATATACATATTCGGAACAAGTTATATCTTAAACACAATATAGTTTTCTTATTATTATCAAAAGTCCACTTAGGCCTATTCAATTGCTTTAGAACTCAATTGACAAGCCGAACTATTTCTATCGCCAGACTATCCGTGTATGGTTTACTTACATTGTCGTTGAGTTACCGCAGTTGTATCTTGTACTTCAAAAATCGTCTGCTCCTTTTTCGTATTTCCAAGATTCGTCTGCCTTTTGTCAAAGTCCACTCAGTCTAGTTCAATTACTTTAGAACACCCTTTGACGAGACAACTTATCCTTATTTCTTACGAAATTGTTAATCACACTCATATCAACCGTTAGGCTTTTCACTCCCATGTTACGTCTCCGTTTGTTAATTGATTTTTCCGTAACTTCGTTCCGACGAAGCTGACTTATTGGTGGTATTTTTCTTACATTGGCTCCTCAGATGTCCTTGCTCCCCACAGTTCTAACAGCCTTTCTTGGTAGCAGCCTTTACTGCTGTATCGTCTCCCCTGTGTTGAAGTTGCCAGCATTGAGCTCTGTTGCACCCAGGTTTGTTACAGTGCCAGCAAAGTCCCTCAAACTTCTCTGAAAGCTGACCTTTTCTGGCCTTGAATCTAGATGATTGTACCAACCTCGGTACTTCTGTGCTGGACCTAACGTAG